CATGGTGGCTCACAACCATCTGTAATGAGGTCTGGTGCCCTCTTCTGGCCTGCAGGCATACATGTAGACAGAATATTGTATACATAATAAATAAATAAATAAATAAATAAATAAATAATTAAAAAAAATCCATTTTTATTGCTTGTAAACCACTGAGCAAAGTCTGAAAACAGAAGTTTATATTTCAGAAGTAGTTAATAGAAATTTTAACTTTCATTAAATAATTTTTTATACTCCAGTTATATGAAATGAGCAAACAAAAATATGCGCCCAGACTGTGGCATGTTGTTCTGGCAGCTTGGAGGACCATACTGCAGAGCAAACAATCCATTACTCCTGCTCCTGGGCACACCTGCACCTGCATAGAAGCCTACAGGAATGTTGAAAATAGTCGTACTCATAAATACCTTAAACTTAACCCTAATGTAGCCCAACTCATGAACAGCTAAACAAATCACACTGTTAGGCCAGAGTACGGGGAGCAAATAGACCCAAACAGCACTACTAGGTAATAAAACTGGAACAAATAGAGATAACCTGCAAAAAAAAAAAAAAAAAAACACACACATTGCATTAAGTGAAAGGAGCCAGACCCAGGTGGCCACACTCCATCTGGATAGCAGGGCAAACAAAGCCCAGCCACAGAAATAGAGAACAGGTGACTACTGCCAGGTGTGGCGGTAGAGGAGGCAACTGACTACCGAGGAGCAGGAGGGAGTGCTCTGCTGTGGTGGAATGTCCTGTCTTGTCTTGGTGGTGCTAGGACTCCATATATTAGTCAGAATCCACAGAAGTGCAGACCTTAAAAAGGCAAATTTTACTATATGTAAATGATACTGATTCAGTAAAAGTGATTTTTAAAAATGAGTCATTTTGAGACCTCATGGGTATTATTGCAATGCTAAGTAAGCTTTCATTAAAATGCCACATACAACCAGAAAGTGGTGGCACACACCCTTCATCCCAGAACTCAGGAAGAAGAAACAGGCGGGTCTTTATGATTTGAGGTCAGCCTGGTCTACATAGCTGAGTAACAGGCTAGCCAAGACTACATAGTGAAATCTTATCTCAAATAAAAACAAAGATTAAATTATAAGCTTGGAGGAGGCACATCTATAGAAGAGAGGGACAGTCCCTTTTCTGCTTCATAAAAGAACAACCATTTGGTGGCTACTTTGCCTGCTTGGTCATGAGACAGTATGTATGATTGACAGAGACCCATGGCTGACTACAGTGTTCTTAGAGAATAGTGGCCACTGTCCATCCCTCTTGATAGATGCCCTCCATGCCATGGACATTTGTTCACTGTCCATACCAACCTTGTATGCTTGGATACAATGAGTCCCTCAGGCGACCATGAGGCTTGTACTTGTTTTCTTGGTTTTAAAGAGCTTCCTTCTCAAGACTGTTCTTCACATGATAGCTCTTATAAATTCTACAAGGCCCTGAAGCATATATCCAGCAGCATGCAGTAATAAGTCAATACCTCCCAGCTATTATGAGTGGGGCTATTCCCCCCCTTTGTCACTGCATGTGGACCTACGCTTGACCTTGGTGCTGGAAAGGGGGAAATTCATATCATCTTTTTATAGAAATGAATTTCAGGAGCAATCATTAGGAGTCCTTGTCTGTAGCCCAAGATTGGATTTTGCTGTTGTTGTTGATTTTCTCTTATTTCATGTCTTAGATAGGGTTTTCATTGCTGTGACGAAATGTCATGATCAAAGCAATGGTTTGGGGAGAAAGGGCTTTTTGGCTTATACTTTCATACTACTGCTCATCACTGAAGAAAGTCAGGACAGGAACTCGGAGGCCAGAGCTGATGCAGAGGCCATGGAGGAGAGCTGCTTACTGGCTTGTTCCTCATGACTTGCTCAGCCTCCTTTCTTACAGAACCCAGGACTATCAGCCCAGGGATGGCCCTGCCTACAATGGGCTTCCCTCCCATCTATCACTAAATAAGAAAATGTCTTATAGGCCTGCCTACAACCCGACTTCATGGAGGCATTTTCTCAGTTGAGGTTCCCTCCTTTCAGGTGACTTTAGCTTGTGTCACCTTGACATTTCCTGTCTCCCTAAACCATCTCAGGTTTTTGTTTTCCTTCTTGGGCCTTTTGGAGATCTTTTGGTATAAAACTGTGCCCATGAACAATGTTTTAGAATAATCAACTCTAAGCCCTTCTGACCTAGAAGGACTCCTTGCGGGAACTCAGAAGCAGCAGTGACGGGGTGGGCGGGGTCCGTCAGCTCTGTCAGCTCCCTGCTGGTTTTGTCTTAGAGGACCTGGCAATAATCTTATGTTTCAGTCTGCCCTGTGTTACCTTCTTCACAGACACCGCCTTGCCTCACCTGCATGAGACCGCGTTAGTTTTGTTTTCTTTAGCTTGCCTGGTCATTCAGCGCTCAGATATTTTCTTCAAACCATTGTGGCTGCTAGTGGACTTTTGTGAAACTTGGTGAGAAACCATATGCCGGGACATTAACTGGCCATGAAATTGTCAGCTTCATTACTGTGACAAAATACCCAGAATAAACAAGCTTACGGACAACGTCTCGAACTTGTTTTAGGCTACATTGACCTGGACCCGAAGCAAAGCATATTATGATGGTGGAAGTCGGTGTGGTGGATAAGGATACGCGTCATGATCTCTGGGAAAGAGTGGAAACAAGACTGACCCTTTAACAGCATGCCCTCGGTGATCGTGCCCACCCAACAATCCACTCAGATATGAACTCAAAGTGGGTTAATCCGTTGATGAGATTAGCACCACTGTGATGAAACCAGCTCAAAGTCATCACCACATGAGAACCAAACTTTGAACGCATAGCAACATTCTCTTGTTGGCGAGCCTTGCTGAAGGTTGTAACATCATTTGCGTTCTGTCACACATCACGTATTGATTGGACATTGACACATACGGAGTGCTGTGGGGCTGCTGTACGGTAGCAGCTGGGTGTGCTGTGGTGGCCAGGTGTGGGGGACACATGCCTACTCTAAAGTAAGCTGTCCATTGTCATTTAGAATGCATTTTGTGAAGGAAAAGTTCCTGGGTCACTCCTTTTCCATGGGCCTGAGCCGCTCTGTGGAAGAGAAGGCGGGTGCCCTGCTAAGTGTTGAGTGAGGCACATTTTGGATTTAAGTGCTGAAGAGGACTGTAATCAGAGAAAATGACATTTCCCCTGGAGGTGGGAGAGGAGACCAGTGCCATGGAAGGTGAGGGGAGTTGGGTGAGATGCAACCCCCGGGTGAAGGGTCTTTAAGAATACCACGTAGTTTGGTCTGTGAGCCAAAGGCAATGGGAGCACTGGGGTTTGAACAGGGAGTGCTATGATCAGTTTCATTCTCGTCTTATATCTTCACCAATACATCCTCTTGTTCTTCCTCTCTTGGCTTTCTTGGTTCTTTTGGGTCTCTTTTGGTCTCCTTTCTTGCCCCTCTCTCTTCTCTTTCTCTCTCACTCTCCCCCGCTTTCTCCTCTCAGGGCCCTGTTCAGTCTGCTATTTTCTTTCCCTGCTGCAGACTCTTCCAGATGCCTCTGAATGTCCCCTCCCTCACATCTACAATAGAAACCTTCTCTTCAACCACAGAAAAAGGATACACACTCTTGGCAGCAGTGACTGTAGCTGTATGCAGAATGCCCTGATTCTTCTTTCCCCCACATTTACCCATCTCTGGCCTGGTCTACGTCATTAGCTTATAAACAAGGTATCTTCAGTTTCCCTGTTAAGCGCAGAGCCTGCAGATATGGCATCACTCATATCAAATGCTTTTGTTCCAGTCATTAGAACCCTTGATGAGTCCACAGGGCACATGTTCTCCTAAATGAAGGCACAGAAAGACTGATGGTCACAGCAGTGCCCTACAGTCCTACAGCTCGGAGATCACAGCAGTGCTGCTATGGCCCTCCAGCTGGGGCCTTTGGTCTTTGCTGAGCATCCACTTACCCCCAGACCCCATGGACACTTACCTGTTGCCAAGGGGCGACTTGGCCTTCAGAGCTACAACTCCACTGGCCTCACAGCTCCGTCATGGTCTGCCAAGCTGAGTCATGGTGGCTTGGCTTGACTTTCCACCTCCTAACTTCATATCAGTCCACAAATCTTGGTGCAATCTTGGGAAACTTCAGTTCAGTGTCCTTCCCTGCCTGGGAAGCTCATTAGAAAGGTTCCTTAAGGAATGCCCCATTTTTGAGACAGTGTCTCTATGTAACCCTGGCTGTCCTGGAACTCCCTGTGTAGATCAGGTTGGCCTCAAACTCATGGAGATCCTCCTAACTCTGTTTCCTGAGTGCGGGTATTAAAATCATGCACCACCAAGCCCAGCCTTGGAACCCTCTTGAGTGGGGACTCCCAGTCTGCTCTCCACATCCCCCACACCATCTCTGCAGACCAATGTGACAACAGTGGGGGACCTTTGCCAGGACACAAAGTCTCCCACTATGCCCCAGGCCTGTGAGCACCAACTACCTGTAGATCTATGTAACTAAGCAAGTTTTCTCATGATGATAAAACTGAGACTAAATGCACTTACTCTGTCCATTTCCAGGGTTAGAAGATGATTCCATTTTGATTTAATTGTATTTTCCCTTATCTATCACCATCTTATTATCATATTACTCTCAATATATAGAACAGTGAAGAGAGAAGATAATAAAAGGACATGTCATGCTTCATCAACCAGTGAAAGATTTTTATATAAACATGCTCATTACAAATTCACAGGTCACCACAAGCGGATGGGTCTCTAAGAAAGGTGACTACCATGTCTCAGAGGTGGTAACAGGCTGCGAGATTCCACATAGCAAGCAGGACTCCGAGGCTGTGAAAAGAGGTTTAATTGTGGAAGTATTTACTCTAAAAAAAATAACCTATTGGAGTATACACCCGGAACATACATTTCTTTTTTTTTTAATTTATTAAAGATTTCTGTCTCTTCCCCACCTCCGCCTCCCCTTTCCCTCCCCCTCCCCCAATCAAGTCCCCCTCCCTCGTCAGCCCAAAGAGCAATCAGGGTTCTCTGCCCTGTGGGAAGTCCAAGGACCACCCTCCTCCATCCAGGTCTCGTAAGGCGAGCATCCAAACTGCCTAGGCTCCCACAAAGCCAATACATGCAGTAGGATCAAAAACCCATTGCCATTGTTCTTGAGGTCTCAGTAGTCCTCATTGTCTGCTATGTTCAGTGAGACCTGTTTTAACCCAGGCTTTTTCAGACCCAGGCCAGCTGGCCTTGGTGAGTTCCCGATAGAACATCCCATTGTCTCAGTGTGGGGGTGCCCCCCTCGCGGTCCTGAGTTCCTTGCTCGTGCTCGCTCTCCTTCTGCTCCTGATTTGGACCTTGAGATTTCAGTCCAGTGCTCCAATGTGGGTCTCTGTCTCTGTCTCCTTTCATCGCCTGATGAAGGTTAAAATTCAGGAGGATGCCTATATGATTTTCTTTGGGTTCTCCTTCTTATTTAGCTTCTCTAAGAACCCGAATTATAGGCTCAATGTCCTTTATTTCTGGCTAGAAACCAAATATGAGTGAGTACATCCCATGCGGAGCATACATTTCTAAAGAATGAAAAGTTGTAAAGTTTTAGTTTTTCCTAATAGTGGATGTTTACAAAATATGCTGAAACCTTTGAATTTTCTTTTCACCTGGCTTCTTTGCCTTCAAAATGGACACCTTTTGATTCCCTGGCAACTCTGTCTGTAGGTGCAGACCTAACTCTTTCCTGTTGCCCTTTCAGCCTTTGCTTCTAGCCTGTCTCCATCCCTCTGTGACCCCCACTGACCCCTGGACCTTGGAGCATTCTCTACCAGGAACCCTGTAGCCACCACACTAACACTGGATCCAGAGTAAAAAAAAAAAAAAAAAAAAAAAAAAAGGAACAGAATCCCCACCCAACAAAGGCAAGATCTGATGTCTACACCAAGAAACACGTAAAATGTTGTAATTCTAGATGCTGAGATCGCAGCACAAAAGCACAAAAGCAAACAGGCAAGGCAACATGCCTCCTTCAGAAGCCAGCAACCCCATCATAAGACCCCAGTCTCTGCAATTTAGCTTAAGCACAAGATAAGGACTTCAAAATATTATGAGTATGTTCAAAGACCTTAATGAGTTATGAATAAGTCCCTCAATAAAGATTATGAAAACATGAACAAACAGTGGAATGAAATAATGAAAACATTTTAGGGCCTGAAAGTAGATACAGAATCACTAAAGAAAACCAAAACTAAAGTAAAACTGGAAATGAAAAACTTACGATGTCAAACAAAAACCTCAGAGGTAAGTCTTGCCAACAGAGTACAAGACAAGGAAAAGAGAATTTCAGGTGCTGACAAGGCAGAAGGAATGGACAGCAAAGTCAAAGAAAGTGGTAAATCTTAAATAAAAAAAAATCAAGCAAAAACATCCAGAAAACTGAGACACTATGAAAATACCAAACCTATGAATAATAGGGATAGAGAAGGAGAAGAAACACAGGTCCAAGACATAGGATATATTTTTAGTAAAATGATAAAAGGAAAATTTCCCACTCAAAAGAAGGAGGTGTCTGTCAAGATATAAGAAACATACAGAACACCAATTAGATAGTACCACATAATAATCAAGACACTAATTTATAGAACATAGAAAAGATATTAAAAGTTACAAAGGATAAAGACCAAGTAACATATAAAATAAAAAGATCACAGGCTATTGCCAAGGCCATCGATTGCTCTCTGCATCCTAGTGATGACGACAACACTAATGTCTCTTTAAACCCAGAGCTGGCACCTAAGCAGAAGCTTCATTCCATGACCAGCACTCAGGGTATTGGAAAGCACTCTGCAGGCTACTGGAGAAGAAACCCAGTCATCAACCTCACCCAGTTACTGGCCCTGTGAGCCACAGCAGTGACCAGCCTGCAAGACATCTAGGTGTACATGGCACAGATTTGATGGGAATGACCAACACTGCTAAAACAACACTGTTAAAGCAACCAAGAACCTGAGACTGGATATGTCACCTGCCTAGGGAAAAACTTTGGACTAATATTTGCTAAAGGAGCATAGTTATGAAATGACTCCTGATGCCCTTCACTATACCCACAGATCCCGCAACCAGAGGAGTTCCTTTCAGCAGTAGGGGGACTCATGACAGGGACTCACAACTGGGCGGTGTGCACAGATTGGCAGGCTGTGGAGTGCTTTGTCCTGAACGTGACATTTTCCTCAATTCTTCCCATCGGGGCTCAGGAAAGTACGTGGAAAAATATGTAGAAAGAGTGTAATAGCCAAAGTGGATGCATGAGTCTGAGCAAGCTGTGTCTTCCAGGTACTACAGGACTGACACACGTATGCAGTCACAGTGGCTGTGGCCCGCACAGGACACACGTATGCAGTCACAGTGGCTGTGGCCCGCACAAGACACATGCATGGAGTCACAGTGGCTGTGGCCTGCACAGGACACATGCATGCAGTCACAGTGGCTGTGGCCTGCACAGGACACATGTATGTAGTCACAGTGGTTGTGGCCTGCACAGGTTTCATGTATGTAGTCACAGTGTGTGGTCTGCTCAGGGCACACATATGTAGTCACAGTGGCTGTGGCCTGCACAGGTTGAAGCCACACTGGGGTCCCAGCAGTGAGAGGGGGAAATGGACATGGGGGTCCACCCCAACCAGGAAGATATTTGAAATCGATACCCATTGGCAAAGGGAAAATCACTTTTTGCCAATGGAGTCTCACTGGATAAGTCAACCACACTCTATGGCAGGCCCACACCCAGAGCAATTCCCCAACACAAAACAAACTCAGTGCTATTTTTTGGGGGGAAATTTTTGTTTCAATTTGCTTTGTTTGGACTCTCTTTTTTTGTCTTATTGGTCTTGTGCTTGTGTGCTTTTTATTTTTAAAATTAATTAATTTATTTTTATTTTATGTGCATTTGTGTTTTGACATCAGTTTTGGGTCCCCTGGAACTGGAGTTACAGGCAGTTGTGAGCTGCCCTGTGGGTTCTAAGAACTGACGCCTGGACCTTTGAAAGAGCACAGCTCTTAACTTCTGAGCCATCCCTCCAGCCCTAAAAGAATATTTTGGTCCAGGAAGGATTTTTATTCTTTTTCTTTAAGGTTTATCAATTTCTTTTATGTATACGAGTACTCTATTTGCATGCATGCCTTTATTCCAGAAGAGGGCACCAAATCCGATTCTAGATGGTTGTGAGCCACTATGTGAGTGCTGGGAACTGAACTCAGGACCTCTGGAAGAGCAGCCAGTGCTCTTAACCACTGAGTCATCTCTCCAGCCCTAGTTTTGATTTTTTTTTTTTTTGAAGAACATAAAGTTGGCTGGGTAGGATTTGAGAGGAATTGGGAGAGGGGAAAACATGATCGAAATTTTTTTCCAATAAAAATTAGACAAGTTTTACAAACCTGTGTACTTTTGTGTTCAGTAAATAACAGGACTTCAAAGGTCACCAAGAAGTGCTGGGGAGATAAATCCCAAGCACATACAAAGTCAGTAGGAAAACAAGTTACCATTGCTGAAAGATCTGAACACACTCAGTTTAGGGATGGCAGGGTGAGCAAATATGAAAATATGCTAAATCCCAGCCTGTAAGTTGGAGCATGCTCAGATACTACATGCCAATTAGAATGGCTAATATAAAAACAAACACCCAAAGGGCTGACAATGTAAGTGCTAAGGATGTGGAGCAACCCAGCCTATCACCATTGCTGATGGGAATGCCAAATCCTGTAGACACTTTAGAAAACAGAATGAGGTTTCTTATAAAGTAGAATATAATGACTTTACCATCTTACTCCTAATGCTTACCCAAGAGAAATGAAATATCATTCCATGTCCACAACAGTTTTTAGAGATAGACAATAATTGGTTATTGTCTCCAATAGACAAAAAACTTTACATGTCAGTGAGTAAAACTCTGTAACAGTCTAACTCTATAAAAGCTTGTTTTATCAGTGAAGAGGAGTGGGCTAGGATGTGCCCAACAACTCGGATGGACCCACAGATGGCAGGGGCAATCCTCTGGAAGCAGTCCAACTCTAAGGGCTTCCAACTCTCCCAATCATGAAGAATGCAGGAACAGAAAACAGAGGGCTGTGGCATGGGGGTGGCGATGAGGGAAGGATCTCCTCACTCAAGGGAAAAGGGGTACAGGGTGCTGCAACCGTCCTGTGTCTTGTTTGTGATGGTGCTCAGCACACTGCTACATTGTGTCAGAACTCAGAAAACTATAACCGAAAAGGCTGAGCTTCATTCTCATATAAGAAACTCTATGGGGAGTTGATGCTAACAATGTTTATTGGTCCACAGATATAGTAAATAAAAGCCTCAAATTTAAATTTTCACAACTTCTTAGCCATTGAAATAGATCACTAAAATCAGTAATAACAAATCTGTGTCGCTCCTCTGCACTAAAAGGTGGCCTAAAGAGCCTCAGCATGAGAATGTGGGTCCTCTTGGGACTTTAGTGCTCACAGAGCCTTCCTATTCTGCCTCCTTGCTCTTGGGGGACCAAGAGCTTTAGTGCAGTGACAGCTTTGTCTGTGGGGTTGTGTGTGTGTGTGTGTGTGTGTACGTGTGTGTGTGTGTGTGTGTGTGTGTTTAAGAGGAGGCCTTGGGTGCCATTCTTCAGGGGCTATCTACCTTTTTGAGGCCAGATCTTTCATTTGAAGTCTGAACTTACCAGGCAGACTACGCTAGCTGACCAATGGTCCAGGCTTTGGCCAGTCTTTACCAGCAGTATGACTACAAGAGCCCACTCCTGGCTTTATTCTACCTGGGTTCTGGGGATGGAACTCATAAACATTTTATCCAGAATCCCAAGCCACACTGAAAGTTTTTACTGGACTCCAATCCCCTCTCACAGTGATTTGGTTTTCTACTATAACCTCTTCTGAGCTGATGGCCACTTTGTTATTCTTCCTGAACGTGGAGAGACACCTTAGATGAAAACAACGCAGTCCTTCGACCACATGTGGGTATTCACTCTCTTTGCCAGTCTTGACTATGACAGAAAGACCAGTAGAGCCCATTTTAACTGTTGGCTCTCAGAACAAGATGACTTGAAGTTAGATAGCCTCTGTGTACACGTCAGCAGCAGGGGACAGCACTTGGGTTAGGAGGCATAGTCCTGCCAACTGTTTGTGGAAAGTTGTGTCCCTCTGTCCCAGTTTCAGAAATGGCTAGGTGTCTGTGGTGGGTGGCAGAGCTCGTCCCAGATATGTGGTCTGACTCAGGAAGAAAGAATGAAGTACGACATGACTTCTGAGTCTAGGAGCAGACAGGCATCAGAGGGACAGCGAGAGAAAGTGCTGTGAGAACTTGGGTTCGATGGGGCTGCACTTCACCTGGGGTTCTCCCCACACCTGCTGGACTGCTGTCTTCTCCCAGCACAGACAGAAAGCCAGGCACCTGCATGAGATGAGCCTTCAGTGAGGCCGACTGGAAATGCCGGTGTGTATTCCCTCACATAGACAAAGGCTTGTGTCACCAGCTCTTGGGACAGAATGAAGCTACAAGTTACAGGATAGGTGATTTTACCTTCTTGCTATAATCTTGTTGAAGCTTTTTAAATTTTCATTTTCCTTTACCTTGAGAAGCATTTCTAACTGTTAAATTTACTAAGGGGAATTGAAGGGTACTGTTGACCAAGAACGACCCCAAATAACTGTCAGAAGGAGAGAGACAGAGCCTGGCTCAGCAAAGCCATAGGCAGGCATGGTGGAGGGTGTCAGTAGACACTGAGGTCATGCACGTGACCCTGTCACCTTTGGGATCTGGAAAATCAGTTACGTGGTGTGGCTTCTATATGTCTGTTATCAAGGATTCCAGAACTTACTGAGCTCAGCTTCCCTGATGCCAGCGAGACTCTTGCTGGACCTGCCCCTGGACACTCCACCACCCAGTGTCAAGTTCCCCCTCTTTTCTGGTAAGACACTAGAAGTGGGAGGTGGCCTGCTCGTCATCACTGCCCTAGGGCTCAGGAAGTCCACAGACAGCCTTCCTGCAGCCCCCTTTGACTATCTGTCCTCCTTAGGTCCTGGCTCTCCAGCTCTTTGGATCTTTCTCTGGTCACGCAGGGCCCAAGCATTCAAAGCTTCCTATATAAAGCAGTTCTTCATCCTCAACTGCAAAGCAAGTTATACACCTCGTGTGCAGTGTTCCCCATAGCCTCAGTCAATGGACAGTGGAGTGGAGGACGCATGCCATTAGACCATCAAAGAAAAAACATTTCAACATCACAGTTCTTCCACTGAAAACAGACCTTTGCCCAAGTTTACCCCTTTGCCAAGCATGTCACGAAGAGCTGGTTTAAAACTGGGGAGACAGTTGGTACGTACGAGATAACCTGAGTTTTCTGTTTAAGACACCTGCAAAGAGCCAGATGTAGGAAGTACTTGGGCTTGTAAACTCAGTGCCATAGAACGGCTCTCTGGGGCTTGCTGACTCACTGGCCAGCCAGGCTGAAACAGCTAGTTCCAGGTCGGTGAGAAACCCTATCTCAAGACATAGGACAGCATCCTAAGGAACAACACCAGACCACAATGGCCTTGAACTCAGAGATCTGCCTGCTTCTGCCTCCCTAGTGTTGGGACTGAAGGAGTGTACCATCGCGCCTGGCTGAATCATAATTTCTGTAATGAGCTTTGTTTTAGCAAGACATGGAAAATTATATTTTATGGACAAATAAAGGTTTAATAGTCTCTTTACCATGCCATTGAAACATTTTTTCATTATATTGTTTATATCTGTCACAAACATCTGACTACACACATGCATATATCTGTCTTCATCATGTTTTTCCTGTCATTCAATTGGCTTTGAACCAATATAGCAACATTAGCAGGGATCACTGTGGGGAACCGTATCCACACACCCCCCTCCCTGCCCCCACGTGCCACAAAGTAGATTCTTAATGCCCTTAGTACTTTGATTTTAGGAGTTCAGGGTACTTTAACTTCACTGAAGCATCCTGTTGATATCTCTGGGTAGGAAAATGATGTTAAGTTATCATTATTGGCTTTGTATGGGGAAGAATGGAAGTACAAAGGTGAAGTCAGTCCAGAGAGACCCTGAGAGTCACAGTGCATGTGGGTGTTTAGCTCTGCACCCCACTTTGTGGAGTTTATTTAATACATTCCACACTAAAAGGTATGATGGTTTTGTTGAATTGAGTCTCATCTCTCTTCAGAAGGAAATGAACAGACTTTGATCCCTGCACATCCCAGCCCTGCACTTATTTCCCGCACTCTTTATGTCGGAGAAAGAGCCCATGAGTTACAGAGCCATTCTCTGCTTCTGCATTCAAATCACAATCAACTGCTGTGACCCCAGGGGAACTGCAGTCAGAGGGAAGACCCCGGCAATGGATGGGCCTTCTGTTCAGCTGGGTATCCATAGCTGTACGGTGGCCATTATTTACAGGCCCATAACCTATCAGATTACAAAGCTGCGTGCAATTTGCTTAAGTGCTTGCTTTAGCCCTTCTACAGTATCTGAGAACCGGCTCTCGTGGTAAACCCACCCCAGTGGCCAATTTCAGTCTTAACTGCTTCATTGCAAAAGGGCCACGCCAAAAGAAAATCACTGTAGGATGATTAATTTTCTTACAGTCACGTCATGGAAATTTGAATTTATTTTGTGTGTGTATATGCACATGTGTGCAGTTGCCTGTGGAGGCCTGGAGCTGGAGTTACAGTAGCTGTGGGCTGCCCAGGAGGGTTGGGTACTGAATTCAGGCTCTCAGTCTTCTTAACGGCAAACCAACTCTCTAGATCTCCTGGTCTGTGATTTAAATGCACGAGTGACACACACACACACACACACACACACACACACAGAGGACTGTTTTTTACTTCCATAAAACCGAATTACTCATGCACAAATACTGTGGAAGAAAAGACCTGCTGCCTGAATATATTTCTGACATTCTTCTGTAGAAAGAGACTATGCATACCAGCATGGTGACTTTATTCATTCTTTCTTTTCTTCTTCTTTTTTTTGGGGGGGGGGGCTTTTTTTCTCCCAGAGACAGGGTTTTTCAGTAGCTTTGGTGTCTATCCTGGAACTAGCTCTTGTAGACAAGGCTGGCCTCGAACTCACAGAGATCTGCCTCCCTCTGCTTCCCGAGCGCTGGGATTAAAGAAGCGCGCCACTGCTGCCCAGCAACATTCTTTCTTGAATTTCCCTGGCACCTTCTTTTTTTTCTTTGGTACCATGTTCTATTCACCTTTTCTACCTTTTCTAGACAACACTTAAATCATTTAAAATTAAGAATGCCAAACCATAAAGGCTAGGAATTTTTTTTTTTTTGAGATTTAGTGGCCAAGTACCTGTCACTGTGGCAAAAGAAAACAAGAAACAAACAAAACAAAACAGGTACAAAACAAGGCCACCTACCCTGAACTTAGTTCTCAAGGATCTAGCTATACAATCTGACAACCTTGCTTGTTGTTGTTGAGGGGCAGGGTCTCCCTTCTTTTGAGAAAAAAACCAAGACACAGAATATTTCCAGAAAATAAAAGTCCCTCTACTCATTTCTTGCACTTCAGTCCCCAGCTTTACACATCTGGCCTATTCCCAAAGTGCTTAGAGGACACGGGCAGGAGCCCTTGGCAGACCACTGGAGGACGGAGTGCAAAATAGTGTAAAGGAGACAGCACCTTCAGAACTGTCAAAAATAAAATACAAAACAAAACAAAAACCCTTAAATAGTCGAGACAGAAAGAAGAGACAGCATCAAGAAGCACACTACAAAAGCAAGTGAAATATAAATACTAGGGTGGGGTACAGACCTCAGTAAGGCAGGACACCAACGTTGCCAAAAAAAAAAAAAAAAAAGAGGCCAATCTGAATGACACCATATGGGAGAGGCACGGGAAGTGAGGGGCTTCGCCACCACACCAGCAGCCTGCCCCAGCGAGGAGGTGCGCGGTGAATAGCCAGGACACATCTGTTTAGTGAAAGCCCTGGTGCTCTGCGCCCAGGGCAGGCAGAGAACTCGGGGGTCATTCTGCACATTGTCCGGAGCTCAGGGTACGGCGTGAGCCCTGCGCCGCGCCCTGCTCCTGCACTGGCCGCGATGTCCCGTCCTTGGTCTCGCACGTGCCCTGTTCCTGGAGCCCGGCCCCGGTGGCACACGCGTCAGGGAAGCGCGGAGCCGTGCCCGCGAAGGAGTCTCTGCGCGCCAGCGTCTCCTCCTGCACCGGGCGGCCCACGGGATCCGGCTCCGGCTCGGGTTCCGTAGGGCCCGGGCCCTCCTGCGAGGTCTGGCTGACGTACACCACGATGATGTCGCCCTTGAAGTTCATCACCTGCCCGCTAGAGATGAACGTGGAATTGCTGTTTCCCGTCACGTTCCCTGCAAGGGACAGAGTATAGAGAAGGTGCATCAGGGACTACAGGGTGTCATTTGGAGCCACAGCAGGCGTTCCCTTGGAAAGTTTGGGCCACCTTAGAGGGCCCCCTGTGAAGCAGACGGGGGAGGGGAAGAAATGAGTGAAAAGACGGGAAAGGGCATAAGCCTGTGGGCCATTCTTGTGTTTCATCTTCTCATACCTCTCGAGAATCACACACAACTCTAGGACACTGGCAGGAGAACCCACCTGGATTCTGGAATCTAGACAACATTCATTTGGAGAGAAGAGGGGCAGGGATAGAATAGTGGTAAGGGAAAAGAGAGGAGAGGGTGGAGAAGGCGAAGGCAGACATCAATAGGTAAAGTACAGGCGGCCGCCCAGCCAACAGACCTCAGTTCACTGAAGCAACTGAGAACGGCCTAACCATAACCTTCCAAATGGCCTAAGGTCTCAGCCACGCAGAATGACCATGGAACTAAATGGGCTCAAAGTTTAGATATTAATAAATTCAGTTTTACTCCTCTAAAAGAAAAGAAACGGGAAGGAGAGAGAGAAAGAGGAAAGAAAGAAATCCAGTCCTGTCCTTCCTCGGTGGATAACTGGAGTAAGCAGTCTTAGGAATAAAATTCCTGGCAAGCAGGAAGTCTAACAGACATCAGGAAACGTGTCTCCTTTTTACTATTCTTTCATTTAAAGATTAAATTTCTAGAAATCTCCCAGGTGAAAAAATAACTGGCCAAACCCCCAACACTCAGCATCACAAACAAGCCTTTGGTCTGTCAGGGGACAGGGACAAGCCAGTGGCCCCTCATCAGGTCTCCAGTCCTCCCTAGCTTTTGTTGTAAGCCAAATTATGTAAATACAACGAGGTTTGCACTACCCTCCTGAAGGAAGTTTCCTCAAACTTGGAAAGACTTTTTCAGACAGTGACTAAGGTGCTGTGGGCATTTAGGAAATTCTTTGGGGTAGCCTTCCTCCTGCTGGTGGGTACCTCCTGAGAAGCCAGTGTGGAGGCACAGCGAAAAGCCCATGGGAAGATTAAGATTTTAAATGTGAGCAACAAAACCAAAGCCACAAAGGCCGGTGATTCCCGCTGTTCCCCCACAGGGTGCATAGCACACCATCAGGGAGCCTCGCTAGTGTTTCTGCCTCCCTGCTCACTTAGAAGGTCGCCAGCAGCTGCTTCTAGCCTGCACTGTGCACTAAACAGACCTTACCTATGACTTTCTCTCCCATCTCTTGTCAGTTCTCATGCTTTCACCAGATAAACTCAGCGGAAAGTCAAAACAAGAAACCAAGGTAGCACAGACATGTCACAAATGCAATAGTCTAACTAAACACACGCCACACGTATTTAATAAAATAGATGACTGAGTTGCTTAGAAGTATGGTTTTCCTCGGTACAGCCATTCTACTGTTTTATTATGACATCATTTAATATGTTCTTCAATATATTAAACCATAGCGGGCCTCTCGAGCTAGTGCAGGATTGATTTATAATTCTGGATTTAATTTCATCTCTTCTTTCTCCTTGTCATACTTAGATTTATCTGGTGGTATCATGGTACATGGGATTTATTCATCATTAGCATTTTTATCTTCCAGCACACCGTCACGGCCAGCCCACTGCTGCTTACTTCTCTTCTGTCAGAATCTCGGGTAATCGGAACCAGTAAAACTCTGAGCTTTGTATGCTACACACAAAGATGTGTAACGTCTTGCATCCTGTGCCATTTCCCCTTACAGATTTATTCTGGTAGTAGTATATTAAAAAGCCTAATATACAATTCTTGTTTTTCATTCTTGTTTTCATTGTGAAACTCAATAATTTTTGCTTACAGGACATAAACAATCCACTGTCCTTTAATTCACAGGGCAATGAGTGCCATCCATGGAAGTCATGGGTCAGGCAGAAGGAACAAACACCTTTTAAATTGCTGACAGCAAGTAAAAAAAAATGTACCTAGAATGGGTTATCAATGTTATTTGACAGTGTTTTAGTTTTTGTTTGTTTTAATAAAAGGTTTGAGTTATGGGCCAGCACAAAGGCTCAGGGTAAAAGCACTCTTCCAACAAGAATGATGACCCAAGCTCAGACCTCAAATACCACAAAGCAAGGAGGGCATCAAAGTGTCCTGAAAACTGTCCTCTGACTTCCGCAATTGCACTGTGGTGTGTGTGCACCACCACACATATACAGATACATAGTAAATAAAATAAAAATGTAAACGAATGATAGGACAAAAACAACCTTTGATCAAGTTCTCCAGGCTAACATTCATGGTAAACCGTCAACTGGTACAGATTAAACTTAAGAAAAAAATCTGAGGGCTGGAGAAATAGCTCTGCAGCTAAGAGCACCAGCTGATCTTCCAGAAGACCCAGGTTCAATCCTCGGCACCCACATGGCACCTCACACCTGTCTGTAACTCTACCTCCAAGGTTTCTGACGCCCTCACACAGACATACATGCAGGTAAAAAACATCAGTGAACATAAAATTAAAAAAAGATTAAAAACTTCCTACTGACTTTCCAGTATGTAAAAGGCGGGAGAATGGCCATCAAGAATGTGTCACCAACACACCTGCCAGGGCCACGTGCGCAGAAGCAGGCTTTGCTATCACAGCAGCTAGACATTCCTATTAATTTTTGCACATGATAGGTTCCATTTTGTTCTTCAGTAGGCTCCTCAAATCATTTCAGCAGCCCCAGGAGCTATGCGATAAGGCCGCAGACGCTCTGCTATAGCGCTGCTGCTTTAGGAACAACACTAATAATCTAATAAGATGGCCATATTTCAATATCGCAGAAGTGTTTGCCAATCACTATCAATGAACTAGTTACTCAATACGAGGTGATTGTAGATACCTGTTGATTATCCCTCTCTTATTCTCTCTTTCTTTCTACACAGCTGAAGATTCCCTTGAACTTCGATCCTCTTGCCTCCTCTCCTGTGTGCTGAGGTTACAGGCTTGCTGTGGCCACAGGCACACACCACCTGGTTTACACGGTGCTGTGCACCGAACCTGGGGCTTTGTGCATGCCAGGCAAGCAGTCTGCCGCCTGACCCTAGGATATGCTTCCCTGGTGTTTAAGTCTCTTGCCACTGGCTGGAAAACTCAAAGGCTCTCTGATGATGGAGAATTAAGTCTGCTCCTCTAAGGATGGATCCACACAGCGTGTCTGTCAGTCAGGTCTTCAATGCTTTCATCTAACCTTTGGTTTTATTGCTTTAAAGCAGTGTGAGAAAGAAGATCTGAAGATCTGAGTGCAGACCCCTAGAGTTTGTTCCCCCATTCTTGCACAGCCCTCTCGCCTACTTCAAATTCAATGGCAAGATAATTTTAGCAAATCATTTTTGAATAGTACCAAAGTTTTCAATAGTTTATATAGCAATAATCCTCCTGTCTATCAAATTTACCATTTTTTGAAAGCAAATATAATGGTTAGGTCCTAAAGCACAATGAGGTCAGCTCACACTCACAGCCCTGGAAACATGCATGGGCCATTCAGTGGTGGGAGCGGGTGTGGTGTGTGTTTACGGTGTTGGTGTGTACAGGCATGTATATATGGCCGTCCATGTGCACACGCAGAGGTTGATACTGGGTGTCTGATAGCCTTAATTCACAGATTATTTTTGAAATGAGCCATCTTGTTAGTGTGGCTAGGCTGACTTACTACTGAGCTCCAGGGATCCCCTAGATTCTACCCCCACTGCCATTGCTAGGATGACTGACGTGTGCTGCTGCACCCCGCTTTTACATGTGTGCTGAGGATCTGGACTCGGGTTCTCACGCCTGTGCAAGAAGAGCTTTACCAGCCAAGCCATCTCCCTAGCCCTAAAGCCCGTGTGTTTTCAAAGGCCTACTGCTTTTATGGAAGACTCATGGAAACTCCAGGAATACAAGCAGAGTAAGGCCTGTCCTTTGCCCTGGCTTGATTGTCTCCTCCTGGGCTCCCTGCTCACATTCCCTTCAAGCTGATTTATAATGAAAGATGGTTGGAAGCGTGTGGGAAAAGAATCAATGTCAGGGAAAACAGACACTTCCAGAGACAGCTGGCAGGGGACAGATAGGGCAGGCCAGGCGGCAATGCTCACTGCACGTCCTTCCCATGCCTGTGGAGACTCCGGCATACCTGGGTCAGCCTGGCCACCGGCCCTCACTGAGCTGGAGTAGCCCTTCACCTCAGGCCCGTGCTCTCTAATTCTATGAAGCAGCAAGCCCCTTCCAAGGCAGAGCAGTCAAACAATAGCCACGCCACTGGCGGCGACTTCAGAGGCAATGGTATGGTGCTCTGAGGCATAAGCTGCACCATCAGATACTTGAATTATGGCTGCACCACTAAATAGCTTCGTGATTCTGGATGAGGAACTCACTCCATTAGATTTCCATACTTAATTAAGACAATACACACAAAGTACTTATGGCACAGTTGAGCAAATCTCCCTGCGAGTGCACTATACGTATTCACGGATAATATGCAGATCCATACAAAGAGCCCAAAGTCAAGTGTCTTCACACTCCACCTGATTTCATGAGACAGTATCTGTCACTGAACCTGGGGCTCGCTGACTGGACTGGCTGGGCAGGGAGTTCCGAGGGTCCCTGTCTCCATGCCCCAGCCTGAAGATTATTGGCGTACACGGCCACATATGGATCTTTAAGTGGATGCTGGGATCCAAACTCAGATCCTTACATTTGCTCAGCAAGAACTTGGCACTGAGCCATCTCCTTAGTTCCTGTAATGAATGCATGTCACTGATTAGACTGTAAACTTTAGGCAATGGCGGCCATGCCCCTGCTCTCTGAATGTGGTGGAGCTGGTATGTGAAGGCTACTCATAATCAGGACTGCAAAGCCAGAATGCCATGGGCATTTTTGTTCCATTTAAAATGGGTTAGTTGACTTCACTAATATTTAATGTGACTTGACTAGACAAACGATCAGATAACATGACAGTATTAAAAGCAGCATCTAAGGCAATGGGAATAAGGAACAA